GTGCCAATGGCCAATTACTTTGGTAAAAGACCAGTCTTTGTTCTAGCAAGTGGGTTGCTTTGTCTCTGTTATGTGTGGGGTGCTGTTGCAACCTCGTTCGAAAGCGTGCTATGCAGCAACATTATCGCAGCATTTGCCGGGTCTTCAACCGAGGCGTTGGGTGCGGCTGCAGTGAATGTGGGTTTCTCGTTTTGTCTCACACACTGGCGCACGCTCTTGTTTTGCCTCTAACTCATATGCCGTCTAGGATCTGTACTTCCTGCATGAGCGGGGTAGCAAGATGGGAATATACATGTAAGCGCTTTTCTTCTGTCTTTGGATGATCTCAGAAAAGTCTCTGACATGCACCAGGAACGCTATAGCAGGCGGAAATACCTTTGGCCCCCTGATTTGTGGCTTCATTGTTTCAAATTTGTCCTGGCGATGGCAGAAATGGATATCCGCAATCTTTACAGGAATAAATTTCCTGACGATCCTTTGCTTTGTGCCGGAAACCAGATACGTGCGCGAAGTTGGCCAAGTTAATACGGTCCTCTCGCCTTCAAACGAGAAAGTCGTCATAGGTGATGAGAAATTGCCCCAAGGGTCATCTCCCAGAACACCATTGGAGCAGTTACCGAGAAAGACATGGAAGCAGGATCTCAGCTTATGGTCTGGGGTTTCGGAAACCAATCTGGTCAAGGTGTTTGTGCGGTAAGTAGTAGTCGAGAATGTTAGTGCATTCAGCTGACATTTGGAAGGCCGTTTCCGATGATCATATATCCAGCGGCCATCTATGCGTTTCTTTGTTACTCTATCTCCTTAGTCCTTACAGTCGCAGTCAACATCCTCAATCCTTTTGTTCTTCAAGCACCGCCGTACAACTGGAACGTACAGATCAACGGCCTTATCAACATTCCTGGCATCCTAGGTAACGTGTTTGGATCATGGGCTGGAGGTAAGAGAACCTGAATAAGATTACTGCAGAATATTCTAATTGCATCTAGGTGATCTTGTAGACATGTGGTGTAAATGGCGGACCAAAAAGTATCTCGGCATCTATGAGCCCGAAAGCAGACTTTATCTGGTAGTCATTCCACTCGTGCTTACTACTGCGGGCAGTGTTCTGTTTGGGTATGGTGTGCAGAATTCGCTGTCGTGGGTATCGCTCTTTTTCGGCTATGGGATGATCTCGGTCTCGCTGACTGCCCTTCCCACAATTACCTTGGCATATGCTAGTGATTGCGCACTACCGGTCAACTCCGATGTCATGTTGCTCATCAACGGGTTGAAGAATATCGTGGCTTTTGGTTTCTTATACGGCGTAGTGCCTTGGGTGGCTGATGTTGGATATGTCAATGCGTTTGGCACAATGGCTGGTATATTCGCTGGAATTGTGGCCATAGGAGCGCTGCTGCTCATCCAGTATGGAGCAAGTGCACGGCATGCGGTGGCACAATGGAAGGTCATCCTGGAGTAAAGGGAGCGGTTATGAAATTGTAATGTGTACATGAAATGCATAACGAACACGTATATGGAGATGTAGCTTTTCCGGGGTGGTATCCAAACCAACTTTATAGATAGTGAGATGAGACGCTTACTGGAGATGGAGTGTGTCATTGCTCAGAAGCCGCAGCTCCTTTTTGAGCCTGTTCTATGAGTTTGGTATGCATGGACTCGATTTCGGGAATAATCAAAGACTCGATCTCCACAGAGGGCTCGCCCTGCGGGATGCCCCGTTCGGTGGCAATTGACCCGCCCGCCTCGTCGTCCTTCTTTGCCAGCTGATCAGCAGATCCAACAAGTGATGGTCTGCCTGACAAACTTTTTGTCCTACGGCTTGTGGGTACTCTTATCCATTTCTCGCCTTCAAGAACCGATACAAACACAACTTCCCATTTGCGAGTGAGCAGTAAATTTCCGATGACGAGGTGGTGTGAGTATTTATTCAACGCATACTTGGCCTTCGTGACAAGTAGCGAAGGGTCAGTCTCGAGCTTGAAGCTTACAATCATTGCTTCCGGTGCCCAGCCGTCCACGAGTTGTTTTAGAAACTTGGGAACCGGCTCGAGGTCAATGATGAGACTCTTGCCCTGAGTGCGTGCCGCTGGAGGTTTTGCATGGCTTTCAGTCACGCCGTCTGCGCCTTGATGAAATTCTTCGTTCGATTGTATCTTGTGCTCGACCATGCGGTCCTGGGGCACAAAGAAGTCGGACACAGCAGCAGCCAGGTAGAACATGGCTTTTGGACCAAGTGGACGCATGAGTTGCGCAACCTCGCGCAAATTCCACAGGTACTCGGTGATTGTTACGTAGGACAGGATCAACAACTTGTTTCCGCGCTTGACCTCAGTATACTGGCGCAAGACGCGTAACATCTGATCCTGGTGTTGTTCGTCCACCACGACCTGGCCGTTCTCTTCCTTCATGTAGTCCAGAAAAGAACGCGTGTTATGTGAATAGTGTCTTGAGTAGGGCAAGAGCGAGAACTGCCTGTGCAGGAAAATGACAGCATATCCATTTTGAAGGAAATACTCGGCACTGGTAGCTCCGCGTGTACCAGCAGAGAAGTTGTCGATGTAGCGCACAGTCTGTTGTTCTAATGGCACTGTGGTGCCGCCAGAAGTGACCAGCACCACACGGCGGCGATCGTCGGCATGGCGTGTGATGAACTCTCTCGCGAGGGTTATGTTCGTTTTGAGGTCCTTTGGCGGGGGCTCGTTGTCAAAGTAGTGATTCTCAGCCTGTTGTGCGTTTAGATCCGTCATGATGGCAGATGAAGCTGTGGTTGTCCTTCAGGTGGGCTGATACAATCGGTAGCGGGGTAGCTTTCGAGGCAGGAGGGGCATGCTGAGTCAGGCATGCTACTACCTTTCGTCATTACAACTGAAGCCTCTCTTCACTTTAACTTGACAGTTTAATCGAACCGAACATTTATTTTGCACTGACCTGGACACGCTCTACATGCGATGGTCGGGGTAGTACCTACTAGCGGTGATTTCTTGCACGCTTCATATTGGCGATTGGAATGAAAACAGTGCGGTTACTAGGAGAGGCATAGCCATAATCAAAACTCGGATACCAAAGTATTTTCAGATGTGTTTTTCTAGTAGTATTTTGTAAGGGCTGACCTCTGTTCTATTGTTGGTGGACATGTCCTTGTTGCGCTCAGCCAGGTACCAGCCCCGCCTTTTAGGCCCCCGTGCCCCGTCTGGAACGCAGACAAAACCACTTCCACAGCAATATCTGGTCGGCGTCTTCTCAAGTGTATTCATTGTCGTCCATTCTGAAAGAATGGCCGAGGATACTGGGAACAAGTTTGACTTTTCAAACTGGAATATTCGGCTTGATTCTCCATTGGCTAAACTATGTACTCATTGCCAACTGATGTTTGACAATTGGAATCGATGGCAACGAAATAGAAGCCACTACTTCCCCCATCATCAGGATCCTACAGAACTTGAACGGGCCGCAGCATCCAACTGTTCACTTTGTTATCAATTTTGGAGAGCTGGGCCAACTATACTTCCAATCACTATTGACGATGATTTAAAGATATCCCCGCTCAACACATATCAGTCACTGGGGGTAAATATCCATTCTGGTGATTTCCATGACCCGAAAATTCCGTTACTAGAGAACTTTCTGCGATTCGATCTGAAATTCCGGATACTTGATGGGCGAGAAGGTGGGACCACGCTGAGCTCTCCACCGCTTTCACAGGACTCACCGGACAAAGATACTCGTAGAGCCCAGATGATGGAACGGCAGAAGCAAACCATAATGTACCGCGTTACTATAGACCCATCACCTAAGTCATGTACGTACAAACATTATATCGTTGTATGCTCCTCGCTTATCTTGTTACAAAAGTCATTGTACCATCTACAAATGAACAGGAAGCACAAAACACAAGATTCTCAATTGCCATGGCTAAAGAATGGCTACGAGATTGTTCTCTGAAACATGAAAGATGCCAAAATCGTGCATCACAACACATACCTACACGGCTGGTTGGTACTGCCATGGGTCGGTGCCGCGTCTACCAGCGAGATGAGTTGAATGCTGGGGTCGAATATGCGACACTCAGTCACTGTTGGGGAAGAACTAGATATCTTACCCTGAGTAAGAACAATCTGCAGCAACTAGAAACTCAGATACCAAGTGAAGATCTCTCACGCACAGTGCAAGACGCCATCACGATAGCACATGATCTGGGTTTCGAGTACATCTGGGTGGACACTCTATGTATCATCCAAGATGATCTCGCGGACTGGAAAAGAGAAGCAGCGAGTATGACGAGTGTTTACGAAAACTCAAGTCTCAATATCGCAGCCGCTGGCGCGAGAGATGGACGAGACGGCTGCTTCTTTTCTCGGCCCACCCATTGGAACTGCAAGTTGCAGCTATACAATAGTCAACACACCCTTGAGTATTCCGCAGCTCCTGTCTCTCTTTATTCGCAATGCTTAATTGACATGCCACTAATGGAGCGCGGCTGGGTACTCCAAGAACGCTTGTTAGCCGTGCGTACTCTGCACTTCACGACCACTGAGCTGTTCTGGGAGTGTAATCACACTACGGCCTGTGAAAGCTTCCCAGAAAGATTACCTGGAGATATGAGGATGTCTTCCAGATTTCTACATAAAAAAACAATAAACGATTCGATGTGGCCATGGATTATTGCTAGGTATAGCGCCTGCAAATTGACATACGTCAAGGACAAACTGGTCGCGATCTCCGGCCTTGCTAGAAAGATACACCAACAAACAAATGACCAATATGTAGCAGGGCTATGGAGAAAACATCTGGAAGCTCAGTTGTGCTGGTTCATCTGGATTCCAGGGCCACGTCGGGAGACGGAGGCATACATCGCCCCAAGCTGGTCATGGGCCTCTGTGGATGTACCAGTTCATACAAACCATGTATCTCTTCTCGACCGACCAGTTTTGATATCCGTAGTGGATGTCAAGATTGGATATACTGAATTCGATTCGTTTGGAACAATCAACAGTGCCACCATGAGAGTTCGGTGCTGTGGTCTACATCGCGCGAGTTTTGATGGATCGACCAATGAACTGCTATTGCCGGGCAACAAAGGCGTAACTGGAGGCACTGTGATGCCCGATAATAGTCCAGATGGTGGCGACGAAACAATTCAAGAAGGACTCTTACTACCAGTGTTTGTGGACAATGGGAATGATGAGGCAATCATAGGCTTGGTGCTCAAGCTTTCGGGTCAAGGAAAGGGTGTCTATCGCAGGGTTGGGAGATTCTGTGTGTCCTTGAAAGAGAGTCTGATTGATACACTTGGTCAAATTGTCGATGATGGATATGGACATTTGAGCAGGACTTATGCTGAGGTGTTGAGAGATGATTCCGGTGTTACTTTGGGTTATATGATAGATATAATCTAGGAATTGAATCGTGTACCCAGAAGAGCAGTTCCTTGAATTTTTACCGTACAATTCGGTATTATCACTATAATTTGTCTCCGACTAGCAGGGTGAACAGAATTGTGAGCTTTGGCAATACATGAGCTTAACATTTTTTCTCTACAAATGCAACACTTTGTGATCTAGCGATGAGTAAATTGTTCTATCAGAAATCTTTTTAACGAAGATAAGAAGAACCCAGCGGGAAGCCGAATATGTTAAATTGAGCAGAGAGGAGAGGGGTAAAGCCTTGCACTATCAATCAGAAACCTGGGTTGTTCATGTCAGGCATCTGCATATCGTTGTCCAAATCCATGAAGTTGATCAAATATCGCGATCCTGAGAACCAGTCTTGTACAGAGTTCTGGCTTACACCCAAAACTTGTTGACTCATGCCTACACCTTCAAAATCTTGCGCGCCACTCATGGCTTCAGTTGATGGGTAGTGCTCATGTCCTTCCGGTACTGAATCTGGCATATAACCAGCCATCGACCAATCTGTATTAGACAATAGTCCAAGAGCGCTTAGATGCGGGCCAAATTGTGAGACTGTGCTAAAGTCTAGTAAGACATCAGGTGCAGTCGCGTCGAGAATGTCTTGTCCCAGGTCTGGCAAAGATACCAACAGACCCTTCTCGATCTCGGTTTCTTTTGCTTGGATGTAGATTCTAGCTACTTTCAAGAAAAGGAGACACATTTTGTATAGCTTTTCCGCGCCCTCAGAGAATGTTCTACAAGACTCAAGGCTGGTGACGAAGTCTGAGAGAGAATCTAGATCGGTGCGATCGGTTCTCTGGATTGCGTTGCAGAATAAGACGATGAAGCTGATTAAAATCAATACCAAAGCTATTGCGTGTATCAAGAAACTTCTTACGGAGTAATTGGGGCCTGTATATAAGTTAGCTGGGTCGGCCAAGTTGAGTGAGTGATTAAGGCATATCCACATCTTGCATACCTCAAGGATGGACCAATGGATGTATCCTGCCCAAAGTTCTGTATTGGCTTTTGAGTTGAATTGGGCATTACACCTCATATGCGCTAATATTGCCGCTCGAGAAGACTCGAGACACTCCTGACTCAATGTATTCACTGGACATGCTGCCCGGTATATAAGTGCACAGGTTGAGTAATGCACTACAACATCTGTATAAAAAAACAGACCCTCGACATCATTAAGGTATCCTAGATATTTAAGCACTGTTTTCCAGTCGAGAGACGAAAGAAACTGACCTATGTCATAAGCACCGGGCTTCAGGGCATCTTGATCGTGCTTGCGTAATGTTTGTTTATGCTTGAAAGGCAGTTCTGTCTCGATGGGACTCGCTAGATTGGTAGAGTCTCTGATACCTACATAGCCTCGTTCATGCCAAGCTTGTTCCATCGCACGAACGAGACTCACAGCAGTTTGGTACCGTTCAGTCTGCGTGTTGAGGAATGCAGCTGCACTAAACAAGCTCTCATACGTCTTCCCTTGAACCTTAGCAACTTTGACCCAATATGGAAGCATTTTGTTGCCTTCAGATCCATTATGCGATGCATCGCTCGTGGCAAGGAAGGGCAATGACACATCCCAATCCTGGATGATACTTGCTCGACCCAAACGCAGAGACAGTTGCTTATCGAAGTAATATATCATCCAAAATAGATGCATTTTACGTCTCTGCTCCTCTTCTGGGTCGTTCTTCATGGTTGCGAAACGATGGTAACCTAGATTTTGACATAGTTCGACGGCGCAGGAGTTCAGCATCCAGGCAAGTGATGGCTTGCACATCTCGACTGCGCAAGCCGTACCTAAGCTTAGGGCTACAATGTTTTCATGGCTAGCTGGTATGAGTATACCAAGCTGGCTTATGGCAAGCTCCAACTGTACCCTAGCTGAAACCGCCTAGAATTAGATGACGCACATTTGTTAGATCACAATAGACAACGTACCAGAAGACGCGTATCTAGAAACAGTCAATACAATCCTAATAAGTAAGTTGAGGGGCAACAGTGAGTTTCGCGCACCTTGTCAAATCCGCCTTGGTGGTACCACTCCAGGGTGCCGATGAAAATTCTGAAAATATATTGAACAATACACCAGACGCAAAAATTCGACGTGGAGTACCGCACGTGGTTGGGTTGGAATAAAAATCTTCAATGACTTCATAGAGATTCTTCGCATCAATGATAGGAAAGAAAGCAGTAAAGATCATAGTAGGATGTTCTATAAGCGTTAGCAGATCCGAAGATTCCTATACCAGGGACTACCAACCCAACACCTTATCCATGGCGACCTTCACCACACTCCAAGGGGGCTGCTCTAACTTTGCACTGTCAGTTCTTGGAATAGATCGATCAGCCAATTGCTGAGTATCTAGCTTTGGAGAGATATCTCCATGATTGCTGGGCGTAACCAGCTCCTCAAGCGCTGTCAAGGCTGCTTTGACTTCTATGTTTTGGTCCATCGATGGTGTCTGACCAACCACCTGGACGAGCAACTCCCGTACATAGTCTGACTGCCTATTCATTCCAGTCTCGCCTTCAAAAGGCGTAGGTGTCGTCGACTCGGCCTCAATAACGGAAGATTTCTCATTGAGTTGAGTTGACGAGGATTCCGTCCGAATGACGTGCTCATCAAATACTGTGTATGCATCCTTGATCTCCAATTTTGAAGCAATCTTGGCGAGGACGGTCTCGATATTTGCAAGGCGGCTCTCAAGACGGTCTATCTTCTTCTCACTGCCTATGGTCAAATGCCTAACTCAAAAGCAGGTTTGGATACGCACTACTCCCCAGATAAACTGATTCTTACTTTTGGAGGTTTCTGTTCTGGTACAACTGTTTTGCAATCTTGACTAGTTAGTGAACCTTCGCGAACTACTGAGATACACCGTATTGGGAGTCTGGGTGTAATGCTACACTACAAACGGAGCTGGACAATCGTCTTTAGCCCTAACTGATTTGCTCGTCACCAAACTTACCGGCTTTGTTCATTCTACAGTTAGAGCACGGCACAGTCCGATCGCAGCGGATTTTTTTCGTTCGACAATATTCGCACTACAGCCGAAATGTTAGAATAACAGTAAGGCGTAGGCTGATTATCGTACCGAACGTTTGCCGACCACGTCGTCTGCAGATGGTCCCATATTTTCTTCCATATCTGTCACAAAATCAGATCCGCAAACATCAGCGCACACTGTTGGCACCTCGCAAATAAAGTTTTGATATTTGAATTCAAAGGCTCAAGATTGAGGCTAAAACGGATGACCTCATCACGCAATGATGACTCCTTTAGGTACTAGGTCCTTGCCCAAGCGCACTACAGTATTTTGACTTGGCCGGATCACCAATCGCCGGTCAGATAATAGCTTGCGCTGTCACTGTTTACCGCTCCGGAAGAGATATTAACACAGGAAAAAGTAAGCAAAGTCTGACACGCCCCACTTCGCCAATACACTATTCCGTATCTGTTCTGCATCAGCTTACAGGTTCCGGTATATGTGGTTTTGAAGCGATTGAAACAACACACCAATTTTTTCTGGGCCTATCAGAGCTCTTTCTGGGATATTCCAAAGTACAGGGGGAACCAACAGCCATGTCATATCAGATATCACACATCCAACGTGAGCTCTCGATGGACCAAAATGTTCGGATAAAAACCTTCCCTACCAAATTAGAGCTATAGCAATCAGACACATTTACACGCTAGGATTATATAATTACATGATTCTCTCTTATCATGTTTCAGTCAGTACATGAAAACCTAGCACTCTAGCATACTAGATCTTCTTTGTAATGTGTGGTCGTAATGGCAGCTAATCGCAAACAGTAGGCTTGTTTTGATTAAGGCTAGTTTTATTCCAATACTACGTATTTAATCCACAAAGAATTCAGATAGCCAACCAGTTCGGCTAGGTGCTCATCGATTACTAAAGGCAGGGACTACTCCATTGGATACATACATTCGAAGCGCAGAGAGTATACACAACACTCACGATCAAGCAAGAACAGTAGCGAGGGCGCGAGGCTGTTACGATACTGAACCACCCTATAGAAACGGTGAAATGTGTTGTATAATTTGTGGTATCATGAGTAATTCTACACGTTATCAAAACACAATCTATGCGTACATCTTTTTGCAGTTCAACCCCATCCCCACAACGTCTTGATAGTATCACCAAACGTCGCTTGGCCAGCCTCTCTCCTCTTCATGCGAGCTACTCTTTCCTCAATGAATGTCTGTTCAAGCTGCTTCGCAACACCATTTTGAGCCCTCAACTCCCCTACTACGGCCATTCTCTCAATCTCGCGCTCTTCAGGCGACAAACTCTCGAGCTTCTTCTCGTATTCTTTCCGTGCTTCTGGTTTGATGTGGGCCCATACTTCATTTTCGTCGGCAGTATTCAAATTTCCAATCTCAGTCACCTGTTCATTCTTGGTAGTTGGCGATATACCACCCATTGCCTGCGCAACGTTACGTTTGGACAAGACGCTTTCAAATTTTGGGATAGGCCGGCCTTCTTCCTTTGCCTTTTCTATCTCTGCTTCTTGCTGCAACATGCGTTGGTACAGCTTATCGGCGTGCATCTGGATCTTTTCGTCCTCTTCGGGAGAGCGTGCATCCATGGTCATGTAGCCCAGGGCCTTGAGGAACTTGGACTGGATATCGTAGCAGCGATTGAACTTGCGCGACTCGGCGCTGCACATTGTGCCCCTGGACCACCACGTCTTGGGGTTTCGAAAGCATTCAAATTGCTCCATATACTCAAGTGCACAGTTTTCCATTGCTATTCGGCCAATCGAGGCCTTGCGGTCGTTGTAGGCATCGACCAGGTCTCGCAGCCGGTCTTGCTCCGACTTTCCGCGGTCATCGAGGATCTCCTGGGGGGTGTAGTTCTTCCAAAGATAGGCATAGCGCCCATCTTGGAATTGAGATTGAGGCGGCACCCGAGGCCTAGCGGATTCGGTCTGTTCCTGGGACTGCGACGGCGGGGGTGTGGGTGCAGGTGTTTGTGCATCGGCGGGCTTTTCCTTGGGCGCAGATGGCAATGAAGGCGCCGGGCCTGTAGGGGCTTCTTTGTTGAGGAATTCACGGAGGGAAGGATCGAGCTGATCTGACCCGGTTGGGGTATTCTTGTTACCCCACAGCCAGCCCATGATGTAGGAATGCAATGGCAGTTGTTGTGTTCCGAGACGTGAGCAGCGAACGGAATTATTGCGGGGATGATGGAGGCCAAGCAAGCGCCTGGACATGCGCGTCAACCCTCACAACACCACCACCACGCGACGACAGCAGCCTCGCCCACCCCACCCCGAATTCGAATTGTTACACCGCACATCGTCATGGCGCCCGTCGGTATGAGACAACAGTATAATTCTTACTTATCCGTCTTTGTGCTGACACATCCATAGATCGCCGCGAGCATCGACAGCAGCGCGTGCGCGGTGCTGGGTAAGACAGGCGTCATGACATGCAACCAACGACTTGGATGCTGACAGCTGCAGCCCTTCCTCAGTACAGGCGACTTTTGGCTTCAGCTTCGGCGCTCTCGGCGCAGCCCCTGCTAAACAATCCTCACTTCCTCCTCTGCCGCCCTCTCGTCGAACCCCAGTCCAAAGTACACCGCGTGCCCCGAATGGCTCGACACAACGACACAGAAGCGCGTCGCTTCAGCGCAGCAGCGCGTCAAAACGCAAGAGTACACCAAAAGATACGACAGCGACCCCGCAGCTCGGCAAAAGAAAGCGGGCTTCGCCCACTGCACAGTCGGATATAGTCGAAGGGGAAGAGGATGAGCTGAGCCCAAACCGCGAAGAGATTGCGCGCTCGGTTGAAAAGACCAAGAGAGTGGTTGGAAATGCCTCCCCCGCACTCGAGGAACAGGACAATGGCCCGGATGAGCTCTCGGTGCTGGACGAGGGTGCGAGCAACGTGCGCGAGGCCGTGTTTGCTAGATCTACCGTGATGAAGCGGACACCACCTCAGGCAGCGGTACAGCAGAGGGCGCTCTCTGGAAGCGCAAGGCGAGAGACACCGACCGCAGGCACAAATGGGACAACATCAGCAAGGTCACGGCGCTCCATATCAAGACGATCCAAGTCAACCGATACCGCCCCTGAGACCCCTAGTCTACTCCCGAGCGGACAACCAAGAAATTCGGCCTCCCGAATTGATGCCAAATTGAATACACCAGCGGCGGCGCCAACCGAGAATGAGAGTGAGGACGAGCTTTCGCCCCAAGTGCCCGTAGCTACGCCGCGCGTGGTTGGGAGTGAAATACAGCCACAGGAAACACCGCAAGAGGAGACAGAAATGAATGTCGATGAGCTGTCCCCACAAGTACAACCAACATCAAGTCAGAAAATCCCGACAACATCACAGTCGATTGAGGTGCATTCAGCAAATGGAGACCACAGGGAGCCACCCACGGAACCACAGCCCGCGAAACGTGGACGTGGCAGACCGCGATTATCGGATGAGCACCACACTGAAAGTGGCACCCCAGCAGTGGCTTCGGTGAAATCTGTGAAGCGTATGAGCCCTCGTGAAGAATTCAATGTCCGCGAGAGCGAACCCCAAGAAACACCGGTGATACACAAGTCTGTTAAAAAGAAGAGCAAAGAGCCTATCATCGAAATCGCTGATGAGACTGTCGACGACCTCTCAACTGCTCGAGGCAAGGCGTCTACACGACCATCGCAGCCTGCAAGACAGAAAGATAGTGTGGAAGTCTCCAGTGCACACGAAGTGTCAGCCGGAGAAGGGGATTCCCCGCTAGAAGAAGAAATGGAGCCCGTCCCTGGGCGATCTGCTCCCGAGCAAGTACCACGCGTTAAGCCTTCAACGGAAAAACCACCTCGCAAGCGCCAAAAGCTTGTGGGGCCAACGCATACCATATCAGTGATGCGGATAAAAGGCTCTACAGTTCGGGGTGTCACTGCGGCAGATATCACACGGTCAATCCTAGAAGATAGCATTGACCATCGTCTCAAACGCATGGCTGAAAAGCTGCAGAGCTTGCAAGATTCTGACAGCCGAAAGGAGCTACGAAGCCAGATCAATATGTCGATTACCTTCAAGGAGAGCTTGAATGAAAAGCTCATGGATTTACAAGATGCTAACGACGTACTAAGCACGAACTTCCAAAAGATGAAGCTGCTGAGACGCGCCAATGCCGATTTACGCAAAGAGATGTTAGGCCTCCAGAACAATCGACAGGAAATTGCCATGGAGCAGGACGACATCCAGACACAGTACCATGCTGAAAAAGCCCGGGCGGACGCTCAGAATATGCTCAGCGGCAACATGTTCGCAATTGAGGCTGCGATTAAAAACGGTCGTGCTAAGGCGCGCAAAGAAGGAAGAGAAAACGAGGGTCCAGACATGCCACTAAGCATGCTACTAGACGGCGTAGCGAAGGATGTTGGCTCGCGTGGTGGTGGGCTTTTGGCTAATGTCAAGGGCTTCAATGGGCTTCTAGAGCGGGCTGCGAGCTGGCTAGAGGGGAGAGCCTAATTGCTTACACAAACTCTATTTACTTGGTGGCGTTTCATTCTTTTGTATTTTGGGATATGATACCCGGCACCATGGCCACCCACGAAATGGAATTTCTTCTCACAACGCACCCTTGGGACACGCGTTGTGGCACTTGCAGACGATCGTAAATACATACATACATAGAAATTGAGTCCATGGAACGTCTGTGCCGTTTGCGTCCGAGGTATTGACGTACAGGTGGCGCGTGCTATCCGGCTGCAGGCTAGTAGCCACTGTTGGCGACAGGCCAGTTCTCCGCGTTTGTGTTCGTCATGGTGCATGATGCATCTCACCAAATCCCGTCCGGCGCAGCCGGTACATGATTAGGTCTGTCCCCTACCCAGATTGACGTGTACACAACTTCAATTTGACAGTTAAGTATTTTGCCTCCGCCGGGCGGGTTTCGTCATTGAGGTGGATCGTTTCGAAATTTCCTTTCTTGTTCCGTCATATTCACGCGCTGCTTGTTCGACGTATCCCCAACAACCCTCTCGGAACTCCGCTTCCTTGCTTGCTTCGTTTGGCCATTTGCATCAGCACCCAAACGCCTCTGTTAAACACCACGCGGTGTATGATTGACTAGTACATATCGCAATACAGACGGTGCCCTTATGTTTGCTTGCGAGCGGTGAAACCAACGCTAATTAGAGCCGTTACCGGACTCTTCACCTGTGACGCTTATCACCAGACCATTTCTTTACCGATCGTGAGCCAAGACATCTCACCAGACTAAAACATACCTCAACTGACCTGGACCGCCACCACCTTTCAACGTTGTTTCAACTCCTCCAGCATGGTTTGCACGCCTATTACCATCGACAAGGGTCACACTATCACACCCTTAAATTCCCCACCAGTTCCTTTGGTGTCGCCCAGCAAAAACCCTCCTTCACCTTCCACCAAGTCGCCTCGTAACCCCGTCAATCAGCATTGGGTTCAGGCACAGCAGCGAAAGATTTTCATTCACCATTTGAAACAATGGTCCATGGGCCACGATTCAAGCGCGCATTTCCAAGGGAAGCTCAGTTTGTTGCCTCCTGATCCACGTCGGAGAGAGGATTTGGATTTGGGTAAGAGCGTGCAGTGCGTGCTTACAGATTCGAGCTTCAAAGATTGCAGCAAGAAGATCGTTGTCAGACTTTTTAGTCCGCAAATGGGCAAGAGGAAGAGCAGGAAACCTTGTATGATAAGGCAGGCGCAACGGGGTGACATGAACCCTTTTGAAAGTAGAGAAGCGTTTACAGAGTGGGAAGAGGGCATGTGTCCATTCACATTCGCTGAAGAGGATATGACCCAGCCAACTTCGCAGGTCAAATCCATTTCCCCGAGCAACTATTATAAACTGGTTGTCCGCTGCGGTTCGGGTTGGCTTTCCGCCCGTGAATACCTCAACAATCTCTACTTCACACGTCTTGCAATCAAAAATAACAGCCTCAGTGCCAACACTGTCTCTAGCAATACAGAGCGCGCAGTTCGCACGCACTCACAAGCTGTTAGCCCCCAACCAGCTCCAGAAGACACTGTCAACATTCAGCCCTTATTCCATCCATTCCTTCGCCTACCTCAAGAACTTCAAGAAATGATCTTGATGACCGCCGCGGGACTTTCCCGAAACTACGACCTTTTACCTGAAATCAGCTACCGACTGAAATCAAAACACGCCAAATCACCCATCAGTCTCTCGGCCCTCCTTCGCATTTCTCCCACCATCACAAGTACAATGCAGCCGTACATTCTCCACCGAACCGCCTTCCACTTCGGACTAACAGGAACTACAAACTTCTTGTGGCAACTAGGACCAACCAATCGCCCCCATCTTCGACGTCTCGCCTTCCATTTCGGACGCGGCGCGCTCCTGCATTGCGTACGCTGGCTGGCACCAGATCCGATCTTCGAACTGCTGCAGCCACCGGTGCAGAAGGATATGGGCGGGCTTCCGTATTTCTGGCGGTGCCAACTCCGGACTTTGGCAAAGGAACTACATCTCACAGAGCTCATTATCGGGGTCCAAACTATGCCGCATACCGACATTGCCATGGTAGCAAGAATAATGAAGGAATCATTTGGAAGTGTTGAGAAAGTTTCTTTTATCGAGAGCTTCCTTGATGGGTCCACAAAGTTGCTTGATAGTGCAGATTCGCGGCTGGAAGGTGTAGGAAAGGGGTCGTGGAGGGACATGACGAGGGGATATGTAGAGAGGTATAAGAGGCAGGTGGGATGGCATAACTATCATTTTGGACTTGAGGTTGCGGGCATGACGGATGTGGAGTTGGAGAGAAAGATGGATGCGGAGAGTGAGTTTTTTGATGGTTGACGGGGATATTATGAATGTAGAGATGGGTTTAGAAACCAGATGTAGAGCTTTGCTGTTATGATTGGATAGTGAAGGTTGGGCTGGGATGGTAGAAATCCATCGCTGGTGGCTGTATGCTGAGGATATGTACATATCTGCTGTTGGATGTAATGCGTCGGCATTCTTTTTCTTTTTGGGGGATCTCCACAGGTCAAAGTAGCTTTCGTGTTGAATTATATGAAGTACCTCTCTCCCTTGGTTGCGACTGATAGATTAGATGTAGTAAGGCAGGTCACCTACTGCAACATTAAGACCATGGAGTGAGCTACCAAGCTGAGAGAAA